AGTGGGTTTGCGCGAGATGCCGAGAATGGGGCCAAATACCCATGGTACGCCCGACGCCTCCGTGTCGCGGCCGGTGATGCGACCCTGCTCGTACACGAGGTCGGGGTTGAACGACGCGCCGCCGTTGATTTGCTGGCCGAACAGCACGGCGTCCTTCACGAAGATGGCGCCGTGCACAGAGTCCACGCCTTACACCATCGGGTGACCACCATTCTCCTCCATCGTGATCTCCTGGATCCTCGTGATGACTTCACGCCACTCGTCGGCGGTCCACATGTACGTGCCGTTCACGGGCCCGTTGTTGAACGGACTGGTGAGGTACGAGCCGACGCGCATCTTGGTGTACGCGCGCACCTTGTCGTCGTCAACCTTGTTGTCCTCTGTGAGGAGCTGGTTGATGTAGATTTGGGTCATTTGGCCGATAATGTCGTCGTCGGTAAAGATGGCGACGATGGCATCGGCGCGTTCATCCCACTGGTCAGCGGAGTTTTAAAGCCTGCCATCACTACTGCTGCTTTAAAACCTGACCGAAACAGTTCTTCGGTGAGCCCGGTACGAAACGTACTTAAGCGGGAAAATATCATAAAATATCATCTAATGGATGCGCCCTATTAAAGTCCGGACTATATTTAATAGTGCCACTCGAAAGTGACAGAGAGGACTTTATACGGGTGAGGACTTAGTTGGTCGGACTCTTTCTAAGCATTAATTTATATGTACAGTAGGTTTTTGAAACTCTTAGAGCATCTCCAGCGGTTAGACTTATTTGCAAGTCCTATTGAGACGGATGAGACCTCAATTTTTAGGATAGAACTCCTGATTGCATCTTGTCACAGCGGTTTGGAACTCACCGCGGCTTAACATTTTTTTTGTCCAATCAAACGACGATACAAAAGATCTCTCTAGATACCGCACTATCAGAAATACACGAAGGAGTGAAGCGCCTGCCCGGGGGGGGGGGAACCTCAGTAGTGGAAGCACGACTCCGAAGAAAAATAACTATTTCACCTCAACATGCTGTCTCGAGGCGGGTGGACACACACGCAGCGCAGTGCGGGCAAACACGCGCGGTCCACCAAAGGCAGGAGAGCAAATAAAGAGCGGGATCGAGAAATGTGGGGTGAACGCCTAATGAGTGACTAATTTGGCGACAACCCAGTCTACGATGATGGTATGTATTTGAGTAAACGACATGTTCTCCTTTAAAACTGTTCATTAATGTTCATGGCTACTCGTTCTGATGCAGATGACTTCCGCAGGCGATTTGGTATGCGTCGTAACCTCTTTGAGCTCATTACCATTGCCCTGGTTGAGGATGAAGAGTGCAGCTACTTCGTCCAGCGTAGTGACGCAACTGGACGTGCTGGTTTCCTACCAGAACAGAAGGTGACGTGTGCTTTACGGATGTGGCATATGGAGCATCAGCAGATCAATTAGATGAGTTGATTCGTATGACTGAGTCCACAGTGTTGGAGACCTTAAAGCTGTTCTGCAGAAATATTATCCGATTATTTGGTCCAGAGTATCTTCGAAAGCCGACCAAGGATGACTTGGAAATACTTCTTGCCGAGAATGCTGAACGCGGATTTCCGGGTATGATTGGTAGCTTGGACTGTATGCACTGGACATGGAAGAATTGTCCAACGGCATGGCAAGGAGCTTTTCAGGGAAAAGAGAAGTGTTCGACGGTGATCTTGGAAGCCGTGGCTTCTAAGTCGTTATGGATTTGGCATGCATTCTATGGCATGCCTGGCGCCAACAATGATTTGAGTGTACTCGAGCGTTCACCTTTGTTGAATGACCTGGTAAACGGTGTTGCTCCCAGGATTTCCTTCACGGTGAATGGTGCGACGTACAATCAGGGATACTATCTTACAGGTGGAATCTATCCTGTCTGGGCAATTTTCCAATCCAGTATCAGTGCGCCCCAAGGCAACAAGCGTAAGTCTTACGCTGCCCAGCAGGAAGCCGCTCGCAAAGACGTTGAACGCACATTTGGAGTATTACAACAGCGCTTTCGAATTCTTGCCCTGCCCTGTAAGCTATGGAGTGTCGATGCAATGAATGATGTGATGCTAGCATGTATCATCCTCCATAACATGATTGTGGAAGACGAGCAGCGAATTACCTCGCTAAATCATCAGTACCTGTTTTGAAGATGAATGGGTCAGCCCGGCAGAAGTTGGTGTACCGGATGAGTGCTCAGTCGCAATGATAGCAAACGCGATGCAAGTGCTTGAAGACGAAGAACTTCACTATGAATTAAAAACGGATTTGATCGACACGTATGGCAGTGCTACGGTGCTTTTGGCTAGCAAAACTTTTTCTCTCGATCCTGTGTAGTAGTTTTTTAAGCTAGACTACGTGCAGAGCCCAGCTTAATTAAA